CTTGCGCACTGAGCATGCTCAGAAAACCATATAGAAGCAGAGGAAACAGGAAAGGAAGCTCAGAGCAGATTCTCTGTTGCATACGAGAGTCTGCAGCTCTCATCGTCACCACGGCTTCTTTTGTTAAGATAAGAAAAAAATACAAGAAAATCTGATGCATTTGATCACAATCCTCTATATATTAACAAAGATGTTCTTATAGCTACATTAATCCAACAGTATCAACCTTTCCTGAACATTTACATCCAGCCAGTAATGATTATTTTAACTACCGATTGATCTACCGGTTGTTTTCTTGCTTCATCCATTCATTGTTTGTGTGTTAATATGTCAGAATATAGTAGGAAATGTGCATCACAATTTGCCAAAGCTCAAGTTGACGTACTGATTGATCGTCTAAGACCCGAAGGAAATAGATTTTCTGATATAGAAGGCTAAGCTATTCACATTAGCTGGAACCAGTGAATTTTGGGCAATCGCTGCTGAAAAATGGCTTTAAAAATGAATTGATAATCAGAAAATAAACCCCGCCTCTTATTGGATCGAGCTACAAAACACAAGGAGATAAGATATAATAAACATATCTTCATCAGACATCAAAACTAGTAATCAGTAAAAATCTAAACCAGTAAAAGAGTTCACACCTCCTGAGTCTCTCTGAGTGAATCATTCTCAGAAATGAAAGTCCACCCGTCAGCGATGAGGCTCAGCAGGTCGAGACTCTCACAGTACACGGAGGCCAGCGCGTTAATACGACACACTCACCTCGGTGTACTTTGTACTTCCTCAAAGACTTCCTTCTGTTACCATCCTGGACAAACAGACAAGGAACTGATGGGCTTGCCTCAGTAACCGCGTGGTGAAATGTAGTGTGGACTACGAGTGTCCTCACTTCTCTCTGCACTCCACACAGCAACATGCAACACATTCAGTGCATTTAATATGTTTTATTAGTTAAGTGGCTTTTGAAAAGGGCTCCAGCTAACAATTAACAGGAAGTACAACAATGTGGACTCACTTTCAGGTTTTAGGACTCATTCCTGCAGCACTTTATAGGATTAAAACACAAATATCTTTTATTAATTGTGATGCAACACAGAAAAATGCACCAAATCCTCACATTTAAGAATCCGATTTGATTTATGTTTTGTCATTTGTGCTTTATAAATAAATGAGTGCTCCAACTGTTTTTAATATCAGTTAATCTAGTGGTTATTTTCTAAATTAACTATTTGCTCTGAAAAAAAAACAGACTTAAGCCCAAGACATCATCAAGTGTCTAGCTGGAACCAGAGAATATGTGTAATGTTTGCTTGATGAATGATTACACCAGGACCACAACAAACGTATATCATCAATTAATGTGGCGATTTGTGTCTCAACTAATCATTTGTTCTGAAAAAGCAGAAATGACCCGTCAACATCTCTGCAGGTTCGAGGAGCGACGTGAGTCTTTGTTTGTCTGACCAACAGTCCAACTCCTAAAACATTGAACTCGAGGTGAAAAGCAGCCAATCCTCACATGGGAGAGACTGGAACCAGATCCTTTCTAGCATTATTGCTTGATGAATTAATCAAATATCACATTTGTCTGTCTAAGCACTAGATATGAAATTATATAATGCCATGAAATACAAACCTTCTTACAACTGGTGCACAATCCTGTATCTACAAGCCAAACCAGGCATTTTATCTTCAGTTTGTTGCAGAACTAAATGTATGTTTTTCATACATATTGTGAAGACATTCTGCTTGTGATCTTTACATCACGCGTGAAAATATTGTTATTGACAGTTTGGCACAGACACATCTTGTTTTTAAAACTGACTGCCCCGGATCATGTTATGGTTTCGATGAATAAGTCTTGTAGCTCCTCTGTTCACGACGAGGTTATCTATTGGTGTAGAACAGTGAACATGGAGAGCTATTTCCTCCCACACACACACACACACACACACACTCCTCTCACATAAGTGGAGAGGAAGGTCACTCATATTTCCCTCGCAGAATGCAGAAGATTGGCACACTTGTGTTTACATTTCAGTTCCTACACCCCCATCACTATAGCAACTCTTCTTCTTATTTTGTCCTTCTGCGTGGGTGTTTTTCAGTCCGCTGTTTGTAGTTTGCAGGAATAAAATCCCCCTTGGCTGTAGGTGTAAATGATGCAGCTCAGGTTTTGTTATCCTGAAGGTACAGCTTTGTTGGGCAACTTGGGGTTTCGTGATTGCTCCAAATGGCAGCAACTTGGTAACAGTTTTGACAGCAGAATGACTGAGAAATCCAGACAGTCGTGGAAGCCGGGAGCAGTTCACTTGCATTCCTTGGCAGTAGGCGGTGAGCTTGGACGTGGTTTTTGGTGTGTCAGTTCCTGTGCACCGAGGACGTCTGGCCAGTTTTCATAACCAACACCAGACTACAGTATGAACTGTCGTTCTTTGGGACTGAATTCCTGTCATTACATTAAGAACCCAATACTTTCATGTCACCCTAGAAATAACTGGAAAGGAATTGAAAGTGTTCGAGCTCTTGAAGGCAACACACGGACATCTTTTTTTTTTTTTTTTTTTTTTTTTTTTTTTTTAAATATAAATGATAATGAGATTGACCGTTTAAGTCGGCATGCAAGACGCAGCTTTAGACCCCAGTTTGGGAATTCAAAACATCTCCGACTGAGTGAGCGTGGGGAAGTTGAGACAGCCATGGAGCCAGTGATCCAGCGGCGGACATGTCTGTACCTGGCGTGGTGTGGAGGAGGCGTCTCACCACAGACAGGCCTAAGCTTTCACAATCAGTCTGCTGGATGTAGACGCACTCACACAAGCAGTAAAAGTAACTCTCTTTGTTCGTTTTTATTGCTTGGAAACCAATCATTTGGACGACGGGGTTTTGCTCTATAATAACTTTATCATAGCTATCAAGCTCCTAACTCACACCTAAACCTGCAACAGCTGTTGAGGCACAACCAAAAACAATTAAAAGCAATCTGAGTAATACAAAATATAACGCTCTTAAAGGACCGTGGGGTTCATTTGACATGTTGATACTTGTTGCTGCAGCTCAGTAAATGGTGAACATGATCCTCAGAAAATCTATTCTATTTATCTATTCATGCCAAATGGCATGCTGGGATTTCTTTCCTGTTTACATCTGATCATAGGCAGGAGTTTCCACTGTGTTCTAGGGCAGTAATCCTCTGTTGCTCTTGTTTGCATAATGAGCAAAATGTACTTTTGCTCTTTTCACAGTGTATTTAACAGCGCTGTCATCTTTGAAAAGAAAGATTGAACTGACAGTCGATCACCTCCGTTGTGCTGTGAAAGGCAAACGCCTCCTGATCTGTGTGCATGACCTGACTGCCCTTCTCTGGATCTGGCTTTAGTGTGAGATCTCAGGCATCCCATCGTTTCCTGTATATGTTGTGCTTTTCATTAGATTTTAAGATGCCAATATTACAAAATGGAGCTAAACTGCCGGCTAACATTCACACCTACTCAACAAGATGATTTTTTTTCACATCATAGGCTTTATCAAGCACTACATATTTGTAAGAAAGATCTGCAATTAATTGAGTGTTATTATATACTCTTCTGTCTCTTTGTTTGAGCGTACATGTAAAATTGTCTCACTTGTTTACATGCAACATGTTCCTGGAATCTGAAAATAAGTTTGCCAGGCCTTGAATTGTTTCAAAAGAGTTGAAACTATGTGATGATCGTCTAAGACGTGTCTCAAAATCTTAGATACTTGCTATATTTACGCGGGCTTTTCCCTTTTAGTCGATTAGTTGACTAATCGGTGTTTTTTGTCTCCGTGTACTAAGATCTCTTTAGTTTACTTTTTCCTCCCTGAGTGGTTTATGTGCATAAAACTTTCAAACTCATCTCTGTTTTAAAGTAGAGTATAAAGGTGCGAGGAAACCAGAGCGAGGTGAGCTTATCTTGAGCTCCTCCATCAGCGTTGTCTCTGCCTCCTCTCAGCTGCAGTATTACAGACCTGTTTGGTAGCTGCACCGAACGGAGACTGTCTCTAAACTGAGCTGTGCGTCATGGTGCTGTGTGTTCAGGTATCGCTGCTAAAGCCTGTTCAGAGTGACGTTGTCTGTGTTTGGGAGTTTTGCTCCACTCCTACATTCCTCTTCTCACTTTCATCTGACCGACACTACAGCGGCCTCATTGTTTTCTGCTCTGCGCAGTAACAAAGTTCATTTGCCGTGTTGAGATGCTGCTAATGCAAGCCCCAACACTTCCTGCTGTCACCACTTCACATTAAAAGATTTCCACTTGCAAACCACAGGAAGGAAGCAGCATTTGTCACCGACTGTGGCGCCTGACTGCTGCCGTTCAATAAGACTTAGTCTGCACAGCGAGATAGGATTTTATCCTTCTCTACTTTAATGTCAGTAGATCATTTCAAAGGGTAATGATGAAAGAAGAAACCACCACATGTGCTATCTGCTGTATGAAGCAGAACACGTCAAAGCTTAGAAACGTTTGCTGTTCCTTCCTTTATTTTTGATGTGTGGACTCGTGTTGTCACTACATAGAGACAGAGGGCATTTAAGTCCCGCCCACACCAGATGGGGAAACAATTTGTCTCCGTCCATTGACTTGTGTTGCGTGAAGGAGCCTCCTTGTTACAACAGAAACATGACTAAAAGCTGCTGTGTGGCGGGATGAACTACCAACAGGGTAAAGAACCCAAAACGTAGTTTTTAACAGACGACATTCGGCTTCAGCAGGAAGAATGAGAAAACTGTGGTTTCCTGACACTCGGTGTGTCTAATGTTACGTGAGCATCAAGTATTTTGTTTGACAAGTCTGTACAAAATATACAAAACAGGAAGTTAAAACTAAAGTATCAACATTTCAGGTTGAAAAGTGGAGACATGAGAGTAAACGGGTCAAACAGTGTTCTGGTTGTTCTGTACTGAAGCTGTTTTTAAGTGTTTTCCTCCCTCAACATCGGTGTCTAATACTTGGCTTTTGTTTTTTTCCCAGCTCTGCCTCTGACCGGGACAACAAGATCCGCGTGGCCATCAAGAAGATCAGCCCTTTCGAGCACCAGACGTACTGCCAGCGCACCCTGAGGGAGATCAAGATCCTGCTGCGCTTCAAACATGAGAACATCATCAGCATCAACGACATCATCCGCACGCCGACCATTGACCTGATGAAGGACGTGTATCCTCTCACAAACGTCTAACCTACTCTGTTTCTGCAGGTTCATTTATGGGCTTCGGGTTTATCCTTAAGGATGTTGGTAGTAGTTAACAGGATGTTAAAGTATTTGTATTTCCTCAGATGTTTGTGCTTTTATGCAAATCTATTTCAAACATTTAAAATGACTTCTTTGTGTTGCCAGTGAAGCTCCTCTTACACGCCAGCATTCGTGGTTGCAAATGTTTTCAGTTGTATTTCATTACATAATGGCCACCTGTCACCATATGTTTGGCAGAGACGCTCTTCACTGTAGCCCAGCAGCAACAGCAGCACACTGGTGGAGTGTGTAGTTACAGTCGCTTTCATAACGCAGCGTGTGTACTTCTGCACTCTGCTTTACCTAAAAGAAATGTCTGTGGCCGAGGCCTCTCTGCTTCCTATTCGTATTATTCAAAATAGGCTGCGATCACACAGCGATGGAACCCTGGAGATCTTATTTTGAAGGACATAACAATGTGGTCCAGATGGAAATAAACATGGCTCGTATGAACAGGACGTTTTTAAAGTTGCTTCTACAAGCCAGGTGTTCTCCACGACATGAAAGTAAGGTTCCTTAGCGTGGCGCCGTGCAGATACATCGTCCAGGATCTCATGGAGACGGACCTGTACAAGCTCCTGAAGACTCAACACCTGAGCAACGACCACATCTGCTACTTCCTGTACCAGATCCTACGAGGGCTCAAGTACATCCACTCTGCCAACGTGCTGCACCGCGACCTGAAGCCCTCCAACCTTCTGCTCAACACCACCTGTGATCTCAAGGTAGAGCCTCAAACGGGCCGTGTGTCTTTATTCATGTGGAGCAGCAGCTGCATGCGAATCATTTACTGTGAAGCACTCTGAGCTGCAGTTATTGTATAAAAGGTGCCGTACAAATACAGTTTATTATTGTTTTTAAAGAGGAATTACTGGGCTGATTTTCAGTCACTGATGATCCATAACGTGTTTCTTATTTAATACAGGTACATGATTTTAAGATGAAACATTACAGCGTTCAGACTTATCCTCCCAAATGTAGTTTTTGTCAGTGTTGAAAGGCCTTTCAAGCCTGAATTTATCTGGTTTTTTTTTGGTTCAGTTTCAGTTGAAACAAGTACAAAACAGCTCTGAACATGTTCTATAACCTGTGGAGGGTTTTAAGTTGCCAGTGAAATGACACCCAGCTTATTTAGACCTTGTGTCCTCCAATCCTGCGGTCATTCATAGTCTCCTCTCTCTCGTCTTCCTGCAGATCTGTGACTTTGGCTTGGCCCGTGTGGCTGATCCGGACCACGATCACACTGGGTTCCTAACGGAGTACGTAGCCACTCGCTGGTACCGAGCACCCGAGATCATGCTGAACTCCAAGGTGAGTGACCTCACCTGCTGTACGGATGCTGACGTGTCAACAGGATGAGCGCATGTGTTTTGGGTTTATTTAGTTTGTTTGTTTTTGCTAAAAGAAACATGGAAATAGGATCTCTGCTTTTGGTTAAAACCTCAGTCGTTTTAACCAGTTAAGTTAAATATTTTGGGGAAAGCATTTTGACTGTATGTGTTTCTTTCTTTAAATCTTAAATGTAGCTTTCTGATTCCTCGGTAGAAGAATGACGCTCTAGTAATTAGTTATTTATTCTTATGGGCCCAACATGACTTAACTTGATACTGTCTGCGTTCATGCCGTGTTAACCGAGTATTATATTGACTTTGAATATACTGTAGTCGTGACCGTGTCGTGCCGCTCCCTCTCAGGGTTATACTAAGTCCATAGACATCTGGTCAGTGGGCTGCATCCTGGCTGAGATGTTGTCCAACAGGCCAATCTTTCCCGGGAAGCACTACTTGGATCAGCTCAACCACATTTTGGGTAAAAATTCTCTTCATTATTGTTAATAGGATTGGTGTGGTGCTGTAGTATTGTTGTTTAAACCAATGATTCTCAGAGTGGGGTCCGTTGAACTCTGTCAGGGAGTCATCGAAATATACTAAAAATCAGATCATTTTAAAATGGAATTAACACTTTAATCCACATAAAAGATTTGACACCTTTAGAGTTTTCACACTGTCAGTAGCTTCCTGGTGTCAGTCCATAGATACTGTAGCTGTTAATATTCATTTATAAAGTTCTTTTGGTGCTAGACCAGATGTTGCTTCTCCCATCTGTCCTTGTGTTGTCCCTTCAGACTGTTCCTTACCAAAGAATTAGTAGACGCCGTGTTTCATAAAAGAACCGAATCAGAAAGTAACTCTTCTCTCTGACCGTTGTGCTTCAGGGATCCTGGGTTCTCCCACTCAGGAGGATCTCAACTGCATCATCAACATTAAGGCCAGGAACTACCTTTTGTCGCTGCCTTTGCGCTGCAAAGTGCCGTGGAACCGCCTCTTCCCCAACGCTGATCCCAAAGGTCAGAGCCAGAATAGACTCGTGTTTGTTTTCTCATAGATTCTTTGAGAGGTTGTGCTGCAGACTGAGGGAGAGTTACCGCTGCTAAACTGTTTCCTGAGAACATTCCTGGACTGAATATGATTTTATGGGGCGCATTGGGACAAAACATTTACCCACCACTCAGGCAAAACAAGTGGCGATTTAACCTCTCCAGTTCCACTGTGATTTCAGGGTACACAACTACATTATACTGAGGTTTTAAACAGGCAGCAGCTGAACAAATTAGTCCCCGAATTTCAATTTGAATTTCCTCATAAATCATGTAAAATCAAAAACAGCATGGAGGGTGTGATGGTGCCCTCTAGTGGGCACCATCACAGTGGGAAGCATTGTTGCTTCAGAATCCTGTTAAACGTTCTGTTCCTCGTGCTGCAGCTCTGGACCTGTTGGACAAGATGTTGACCTTTAACCCTCACAAGAGGATCGAGGTGGAGGAGGCCCTGGCGCACCCGTACCTGGAGCAGTACTACGACCCCACGGATGAGGTGAGGCGGTGGGCTTGGGCTGTTAGATGAGGAGACATCTTTTGCTTATCGAGCCGTCGCGTTAGGAGTTTTTGTTGCATCTGTTATGTTCCTCTATTCCTTAAAAGTATGATAAGTAACTTTTCAGCAGTGAAACGACTAGACCTATGTTATATCATTTGAGTTGTGTATTATCATTATCCCAAAATGTTTCCAACAATTTTCAAACCTAAAGAAATCCTTATTTTTAATAAAGTTAAAGGTGTTTCATTTGGCTGCCTGTCACAGAAGTCCTAAATCTTTCTTCCAGTGTTAAGCCACGTATTTACGATACACTCTTTCGGTCTTTTGACGTTTTATTTTGACGGGATGAAGGATTTTAGTCCTCAAACGTCTGGATCTTCAGTCATCAGAGAAGCGAGCTGAGCAGACGTTAGCGCCAGCTGTGTCGGAGAAGCGCTGATTTCTATTTCAGTGTTTTTACCGGTTTGAATCAGCGGGTCTGTGTGTGTTGGAGAGGAGACCTCTGCAGTAAAAACCTCCTGAACGATGAACACAGAAGCCACCAAACTCGTTTGTTGTTATTATTATTATTCTGGTTTAGACACTCGGCAGCAGAAAATATCGTGTTCTTCACTTAAACCTAAAATCTTCAATTCATATCTCCATAACGATGATTCTGATCATATTGTAAACCCGGAGCACTCGATGTAACGTCTCTGTTGTGCGTTGGACACCAGAAGTCTCCACTGAACGTTTGCACCAACATGTCCTCTCTGCCTCTCTGTGCAGCCTGTTGCCGAAGCTCCGTTCAAGTTTGACATGGAGCTGGACGACCTCCCCAAAGAGACACTGAAGGAGCTCATCTTCGAAGAAACTTCACGTTTCCAGACCGTTTATAGGTCCTAACGCCTCACACAGGTGAGTCCACATCGCTTGCGGTCCAGATAATAACCTGAGAACCAACATAAACTCAGAGAGGGACAGTGTGCAGAACAGTTTTACTATTCGCCGCTCTGAAGCCTTTTTTTAAGGATGTCTCGTCCCTTCCTCTTCTGAATAAATGAGTCGGTCATTAAAACTCCCAGTGAGCGGTGATGAAGCTTTAAAAACTACAGATTCATTTGTGTTTGAATTTAACCGCTCGCCACCAAGAGCTCAACAAAGACCCCTCACTGCTCACTGTGCGCTGTGATGTAGATGTTCTTCACTTTTAAAAAAACACTTCTCTTAAGGTCCACCGCCAAGTATTTATTTAATTGTTAGTGAAATATAAAATATGGAAGTTTGGTCTGAAAGCAGATGAAAAGAAACCGTTTTATCTCACTTAAATGTTAAAAACATCATATGGAGAATTGCCCAATAACATAATACCACGAGTTATTCTAGTTTTATAATTCTTATAAATATGAACTCAAGTCGCTCCACACAGCGCCGTTGTTTGATTCCTTTATTCACGGTGCGAACGCTCAGAAAAATCGATTGTAATATTTTTGCTCTGCGAACAAAATCAACAGTTTGAGGAAAAAATACATTGACGTGCAAATTAATTGAACAGAAAAAAACCGCCCCGGTGTGTGAAGATCATTAGACTGTATTTTATTAAAGCAAAGTGGTTGTGTGACTGGATTTTATTTTAAACACGTCAACGGTCACTTTTGCCAATTTTGAATGTAAACGCACAATACCGGTGCCTTTTTAATGTAATAAATAGGCATTTACAAATGAATATTGGAAGCAGATTACACCATTAAGAAGGTTTATAAAGCCCACAGTAACTCCTCAGATGTGGTGTCTTTGCGAACCACCAGCTGCTCTCTGACGGGCCTCTTGTTGTGATAATAGCCATCACTGCTGCATCTCATCTGCTTCGTGTCGGCGTCTGTAATTATTGTTTCCTCTCGATGCATAAACACGAGTCGGCTGAAGGGAACGGGAGAGTGACACAAAGCTGCTCTCATTTTCACCTCTTAATTCTTAGTTCTGTAACTTCTGTTAACGTCTATTTAACTTCATCATTAACAGTTTAGTTACATTGTAACCGATGTGCTGACATAACACATTTCTCATTAAGGAAATGTCTTGCGTAAATATAATATTTGTAAATGCTTAAAAATACATCAAACTTTGTAACTAAGTCTTTTAATTGTTAATTTAAATAAGTGTTCTTTGCGCTGCGCTGTCTCTTGGTGGAGGTCAGTGTGGTTTAAGAGTCTCTGGAGATAAAATGCTTCTTTCCTTATTTTAAATAACACACAGCATGTAAGGCTTCATTAAAGAGCGACTAGAAACACCCTCATGTTGATGTTCAGGCCGATTCTATCTACACGACACCAACATCCTCCACTAGAATATTTAGTTTAGAGGGCCGAGTCTGACCTGTTGTTTGCTGTCTCTATTTCTAAGAACTGTTATTGACGGCATACAAACATTTTTGTAGCATGGAAAAGTGAAATTAAATTGGATTTTCATAGTAAAACATCGGCTATTAAGTAACAGCATCAAGTCACAGGACCTTGTTGTCCAAACCTTGCTTTTAAGGTTTTTTTCCTCCACAGTCGCCTGATAATCGGACTGAACCGACTGTTTTTTTTGGTTATTACTTCATTTGTTGTTTGAATTATTTGAATCGCTGAACAGAAATTTACAGCATATTTTAATATGCTGTATGCTTTAACTAGCAATGCAAACTGCAACTATTTGCTTCAAGTGAAGTCCCGATAAAAGACCTTTATTTTCGGTGTGGCGGCTCATCACACGCTCGCTGTTTCTTCTCCCTCCAGATGACTCCGTGGACCGGCTCCTGCGTCGCTCCTCCTCTCCTCCACTCTGTTGCTGTGAGATTCTGTTTGGTTTGTTTTCTCCCTCTCCAGTCGTCCACATCACCTGGATTCCTTGGGTCTCACTCGTCAAGTCCACTTTGCTCAGGAATGGCGTCAGGAATCAATCAATCAATCAATCAATCAATCAATCAGTCAATCCTTTGTCTTTCCCTTCTCTCTTCTCTCACTTCCTCTCTTTTACATCACAGCTTACAGTTTGGGGGTTGATTTTTGTGTTTCAAGCCAAGATAAATAACTCTGTTTCGTGTGTCTTAAAGGCGTTCGGCTATGGCTGCTCTTATTCGAGACATTTTGACGTCCAGTTGAACGGCCGTGATGGACTCGCCGTCGTGCGTATTACTCTGCCTACATTGCACAAACAAACAACGGTAGACTACTTAAATGAATCGCCCGTCATTCGAGTCTTTTGAAGTTTCTAACCTTTTGTCGCGCTGTTAAGAGGGAGACCTTTTTTTCTCTTATCAAAAAAGGACAAACCTGAATTAAATCAACTGATTTATGCAATGAAATCACATAATCAGCCACAGACTTGTGGGCACAAAAGCCATTTTCTTTTGAAGAGGAGCTATATTTTAACACAGAAGGCCCAAATGCAAATATATACATATAAATATATACATAGCCCAAAGAGTCGTAAGATATCTTAATGACGAGACTGATGATAGACGGTGAATCGGATGAATTTATGATCTTTTCTTCTTTTCTTTTCGTTAAACACAAAAACGTTGTCATTTCTCATCGGCTTCAGTAAGATGTGTATAAATGCACCGAATCACAAGTACGTTGAAAGATCAATTTCTGCCTTAGCCATGAGAAACCTAAAGGAAATGTCTGTTATTTCATACACGTCTGTTTGTACTGTGTGATGTTTGTCACACGGGAGAAGATTTACTGCGTCAGGACGAGACTTCAGTTCTCACTCGGAGCTCGTTTATCGTCTGGATGAAACGTTGTCGTGCCTCCTGTTTTCTTTTCATTTCTTCTCTCTCTATCTCTCTCTCGCCTTGTTAGAATGATACTGTGCCCTTTGCATGACTGTTATAAGCTCCGTATACAAAGACGACGATGTTAAGTGCCACACTAGCCGGGCAGATCCGCCGCGAGAGCGCCCAGGCTCTTTCTGTTTCTACACTTCCCAGCCACATGGTGCTTTTTGTCCCGTTTCTTTTGTTCTGCCTCAGCATTTTCTTTGTCCGTTTTTTATGTAATTTCCATTTACAGTCGTTCCTCGTTATCGGGCAAACTCCATCGTGCACGATAACGCGTCTTTTTATGTGGTTGCAAATAGGAGAATAACCATATATCTGTATTTATACCAATCACACAGAAACTACAAAATGAGTCGTTTCCTCAACCTGAGAAGTGGAATCCAGGCACGATACAGTTGAAATAATACCCAAACGTAACTAATCAGGTTCTCCATTTCGTCATTTTGCCTTTTTAAATTGCACCAGCCGACAACTGCAGTGCAAAAAACAACAGAAGCAAGAGCAGATTTTGAGTTCTTGTCACTAACTGCTGATTCCAGACTGTTGGATTTCAAGATTTTATTTTAAGCAAACAGAATTAAGACTTAAAAGACGATATATATGTGGAAACTTTAAGGGAGCGTCATTCAGTTTGTTTACAAGTGGGCCTGGAATATATCCAGTTTCATGGTAACACTTAGCCTTTTGTTGTGTTTCAGTACTTCAGCGTCTACAGAAAAGCTCCTTCAGTGACGTGTGAGTGACCTAAAGAATGAAACTAAGTATTATCTGCGACACTAAAACATCTCCGATAGATTATAGTCATCTACCTTCATGGATTCTTCAAGAATCTTTCTCTGCTGGCACTTCAAGTAGGAAATTAGAGATTTAAATATAAAACAAAGACCATTTCAGGAGTATCGAGCTGCTTTTTTTTTAAATTCTTTCAAACGACCACAACGATGTTTGTGGTCTGTTTCTGACAGAAGATGAGTGAAGCTAGAACTCAACTTTTCATTCTTTTACATTTGCATAAATGTCAAAAAAGCGAGTTTGAGTTGTACAAACGTTTCTCTTGATGTCGGAGCTGCTGTGGTCGAGTTAAACCACAGCGGACGGAGACAAAGACGTTTTAAATGAGTCTCTTTGTTCTGGCTGAATGATGTCAGACTGAAACAGAGTAGGAGAGGCGATGCTCTGCTGATGCTTTGGTCTTAAAGAAAAGTCAGTCAATGGTGAAAAAGGCCCATCGCCAAGTTCCCAGATGACCGCTCTGTATCCCACCGATGAGATATCAACAGAACGATGATGTGAAACTGAGAAAAGCGCCAAATCCTCATATTTTGAGAAGCTGTAACCGGCAAATGTTTAGTATTTTAACTTGATAATTGACTTAAACAATTATCCATTTATCGGAATTGTTTAGGATTCAATTAATCATCTTGTCTTTGCATCCTCGGTGTTAATTCGGTTCCACTTTCAATGAGAGAAATGCTCAGAAGCCGTGACTTGGGGAGTCTTGTAGGCAGCGTACAGCAGGTCACGTACAAAAAAAGTGCACTTTTCTTAAGTTTTTAACTAGAAACAAACGATGTCCTTTTCCAGGTAAATACTCTGAACACATTTATGTCAACTGAAATAACTCAAACTTTTATCTATTTTCCTCATAATTAGTGTGAACTTAAGCAGGAAACATTAGGAAAAAAACGCACATGTAAAGATTAAGTTTTGTAAAATATGCAAGTTTTATATTTAGAAAATAAAAATTGTTGATCAGTTCCTTCTCTGCTCAAACCCCCAAAAAACCTGCTTGTTGGTTCCGTCGTCCGCGACTAAACTCATCTGAAAAATGACCAAAACTCCAGTGCAAAAATTAGTAGTTTTTTTTTTCACTCTCAAATTCTCACCTGAGCGGACGTTGACCGTGAGGTAAAGACCCGTCTGTCCTCGCGCCCGTCTGTCTCACGACTATTAAATGCACTTGCTTCTAGTTGGGATGGGACTTGTAATCCGAGGTGCCTGCCGGGACTTGACTTGCCTGTAGATAGTCTTTTATTTTGGCGGGGGGGGGGGGGGGCACTAGAAACCTTACTGGGATTCGTTGTATTAAAAAAGCTTCTGCTGAGTTCTTTGTGCAACCTGTCTGTTTGTGCCTTCTTTGATAGTCTTGATATCCAAGATTTGATGTGCAGCTTTTGTTCAGTCGGGGATCCGTTTGTAATCGCAGTGAACGCTCTTAAAAATGATCACAATCAAGTCTGGGGGGGGGGGGGGGGCCTTATCTTTCAGTTATGTAAATTTTATAGAGATTTGTTTCCACGGCTGTGTGATTTGTGACTGTATTGAAAAGATGAAAAGCAAACATTTATATTTTTTGCGTTGCCCTTTTTTTCTTTTTTTTTGGGATGTTTTGTGCAGATATTTTTATTGTAAAATGAATGTTCTGTTTCTATCGGACACTAATCTTGTTTGAGTTGTCTCCAGTGGAACTACTTCACTCTGTATGTTTTGATCAGTATAAACCTTTAATTGTGTAGTAAACAAAAGAAGCTCCTTGTTTGGATTTGAAAGGTTTGACCTGCCAGAGACATTGTTGGAATTGATCGGTCAGTTTTATTTTGCTGTCGTGTGAAGGATTTGACTTGAACGAAGCATTTCTTTGCTATTATTAAAGACTGACTGCCACTTTGACAAACCTGTTTTTTAATGTTTGCTTTTTTTGTGATTTTGCAACTCTGCCATTTAAATAGACGTTCATTAAAAACACTGTATTCACACCTCTGTGAAGTCTCTTTGTAAGATTTCAACTGGCAACAGACGACTAACTGCTGTCAGCATCTAAATACAAAATAAATGTTTCTTAAAGCAATACAATAATTAACTATATATACTGTATATATTATATAAATATATATGTATATAGAAATTTGAGATTTAGTGGACTAGAAGTATGAAGTAGCAGGAAATGGAAATACTCTTTACTTAAGTACAGTATTTAAGTAAATGTACTTAATTTTGCACTGCAGTTCTGTTGTCTGATTGTTTTTATGGTATATGATGTTTTTGATGAAATCATGGTGCAGATAAACTAATTGGTGGCGAGTTGTTAATTAATGATCAGTAAGTATTTTAACTTTGAAGGCTGAAGTCTAATTTAACAACAATACATGTAGTAATGTCCAACCATAAAGAAAAGCACCTCATGGTCCACAGTTTGAATGATCTCACTCATACTGTTGTGGACACTTTAATGCACCGCGTGTCCTTTAGGGGGCGCTGTTGTGTTGGATAAAAACATCTACTGCAGTCTGTTCTTTGTCCAGTCAGCAGCGTTATTCATAAATTACTGGCATTCACTTTTTGTAGCCTACAAACTATAAGAGGTTCAAAATTCAAATAAATTTCCTTTGATTTAAAAAAATAAATAAAAATTGACATGATTGTGAACTTCATCCTCTTTTATTTATTTTGTTAAGGAGTAGATAAACTCGCATAATCTACAAACAATACAAATGTAAACCTATTTGCTTCTCAACGCTGTTTAAAAGTGTGTGTGTGTGTGTGTGTGTGTGTGTGTGTGTGTGTGTGTGTGTGTGTGTGTGTGTGTTGTAGAAAAGGTTATTTTAACCTTGACATAAACATATTATAATAACACAGTAAACACGATAATTAAATATCAACCAATTGTATTTTTTTATTTTTCTTGGAGGGGGGGGTGGGGGTTGTTTACCTGCTCTTCTTAACCACGTGCTTGCAATGCGGCCACGCATGCGTACTGTGGGGTATTGGCTTTTGGCACGCGTCTGCTGTCGGTGGCGCGCAAAGCCAAAAACAACTCTGAGCCACGCGAACGCGCTGTCCAGTGTATGGCTTCTAGTTGATTGGCTGTGGATGTGTAGCCCCGCCCTCCCTCGCAGTCTATTGGTCAGACGATGATTGTACTTGTCGCTGATTGGACGCTATTTGTAGAACCGGCTGTGTAGCTAGGCTACTGTTGCCTTCACGTACCCCTCCAAAGATCAGATTTAAGAGGTTTTTAAGATGAAGTCATGTGCTTTCAGTTGTTTTGTTTGGAAATAAGGGTCAAAAGACATCCAGCAGACTGTCTCAAACTTTTTGGAAGCTTTAAAAGCTACAAGACGAGTACAAGCTGAACGTAAAAACATAAATAGTGGTTATTTATCAGTATTAGCAGCTGTTGACCACCGGGGAATACAAATAAATAAATAAAAGTCACGTCTGGACAATGTCAAAAGTTTCCAAACTTAAAATAAATGTATACAACTAAACTGAAAATATAATACAACAAACTATATGATACGTTTGTTATTTTGTTCTTTGTTCCTGGTGAATGGTTCCTCATATTGTCAATAAAACGACAACGAAACCGCCTCACTGACCCAAAGTAACTTCATCTAGAGAGAAAGATTTCAGAACCAAGTAAGTTGTACTTTATTCTTGCTTTTTTCTGTGTATATAAAACATTTTTATAGTTGTAATGTTTGAGTTTCTAACTATTCTCGGACTTGTTTCGCCATAGGTTGTTGCTGTATATTTTCATCCGTGTATTCCTGTGGTTTTATGTGTTAAATGGCTGCAAACCTTCCTTTGGGGGAAGATAATCACGCTGGAGTTGTCCCGACATGTTCCGAGAAAGGGCAAGCTCAAATCGCCGTTGTAACTGTCGCAACAACTTGTGGCATACTGTGTGTGTGTGTGTGTGTGTGTGTGTGTGTGTGTGTGTATATATATATATATATATATATATATATATATATATATATATATATACTCACTCTAATGCATATTATCCATATTTACAATTTGCATTCCTTGAGTCTGCTGCATGAAAGTGTTTATCGTTGCCATGGGCAACAAGTACCACCTGAAGTTAGCCTACATTAGCTTGCTAATAAAAACGAGTATCCATTCTATTACAATTCGGCCTTTTTTAATAAACCAATTACAACTACCAACAGTCATGCCTTCAACGGCCTTAATGTATTGTCACATAATGTCAAATAACGACAAATAAAGGCTAAACTACCGCGGAATCCGCTCCGAATCACTGGCAGGTGCCACGAGAAGCTAACGCTAGTGGCAGCTGAGCTTGCAACAGGAAGTGCCTCTACTAGCTGCCGCTGCCACGATTTGAGCCAGCTGCTACTGCATGTTCCACGTTGTTGATCGTGTGCGCTCGCGTCTCGTATTTCCTGCAGCACTTAAAGGTAGCATCGGTAGACGTATTAAAACAACGCTTTTCGGCACTTTTTTTAATTTATTTTATATTTGCTTGAGAACAAAACCAGTTGACACAAAGAGTATAAAGACTTTGATAAACAGACCGAGCAGTCGTATCGACACGTCCGCAGCTCGTGAACGTGTTTGTGCATTATTCAAAGCGCGCTGCGCATCACGGAGCTAATTAGGATATCGGTATAAATAAGGCCGCAGACGGGACAGCTCGGTCCGTCCTGCCGCTGACGTCGGAGAGCTAAATGTATAGAGGTTAAAACCCTGCAAAGAGCTGCAAGCTGCTCCAACATGCACTCACTCTGACCCACCTCACGGATGGGACTCTACTCAAACCGGACCTCCGGAGATATCCCGCACATTTTACGCGTTAACGCAGAAAGTCTTTGGCTCATGAACGCAGTGAAGATCCACCGAGGAGACTGATGTTTTTTGGGGGCTTTTTAATTCCATTCAGCCCGACCTAGACCGCCTGCTGCTACCTTTATGGGACGGTGAAGGTCTCTTTTTACAATTTTTTTTATGTTTTTTACTAATATCCAAAGACTGCTGCAGCTCCAGCGGAGGAAGAGATTTCTTCACCGGGTTGTTTTGGTTTCCGAGGGGGGGAAGTCGAGGTGTTTTTGGGGTGAGTGCAGCGCGAGTGACCTGCTGGAGGACACGCGCGTGTCTGTCAGAATAATCACTACAATAACTGTAAAAGCTATTACAATGTCGTACTTACTTTAAAGTGCGTGTCTGTATAGTGAGTTTATAACTGTTATTCTACTTTAGTACATTTTATGTTTCTCGTGTGTTGCACAAAGGGATTTATAGCTTTTATTGCCTACATTATATTTAACACCTGAAAGGTATCGGGTTTAGTTTTTGTTTTTGGGTGCAGACAGTGCCTCTAATGCATGAAAAACACATTTTAATATCACGGTAACAATCTTATAATATGTATAATACTCTTCTATAAACTTAGTTTGGCATTTATGTCGTATTCCTTTATTTCCATGCTCCTATAGGATTGTAATTCTGTAGGATTTTTATAACCGTAGGCCTATAATTACGCGTTTACATTAATTATAAGGTTACAATGTCTCCTTTCTTTAATGAGACACGTTTTGCAATTTGATCCTCGAGTTACATTCAAGAGCAGAACATAAAACCCGGACGTGCAGCTCCTTTCATGTGATAACGTGCGCTATCTCCGCTATGTTCACCAGCACCTCCATCATCTCTTTGGCTGCAGATCGCGGTCAGTTTTTTTTGGGGGGGTGCTTATGATGCCACGTGAACAAGCGACAAAAACACAGCGAAAGGGATTGATTTCATAACGCTCGCGCGCGCGCGCGCACAAAGCCTGCCTCTCCGAGGGAAGCTGCAATGTTGTGTTTACGTGCATCCATACGGTGAAGCAACACCTTGGAGAGCATTGCAACACGACGGGGCTCGTGTTGCAATGTCAATATACGTATATTTGTAATCAAAGGCAGTAAAAAAAAAAAGATATAAACAGTTCATGAGTGCTTGTTGTGTTGAAGCTCATGCGCGTCCACGACGTCAGGGCAAGCAAGGGTAGGACGAGGACAGGCTTTTGATTGAGAGCTATAAACCAGATTACTGTTTTATTATTAGGCTGTTTTATGGTTAATGTCATCATTCATGGCATTAGATGTCAGATATGGATCTGTCCAATGTCAGGGACGATGCAGCACTGACACATAAACAGAGGCGGAGGAGGAGGAGGAGGAGGAGGAAGAGGAGGTGGTGGTGGTGGTGGACGATCAGGCTGCTGTTTAGTTTTTTTCATCTATACAATAAAATATTAATTTCAGCTTAAAGACATGCTCTGTTTCTAAAAATAACTAATAGGGTCAAACGTGTTTTGGCTCAGATTTCGCTGTGTGGGCGTTTTTCAGGAAAAGGGATCCTGTAATATTCTTGTAGTGTTTCTGTGGTGCTCTGTTTGGACTTTCTGCTCTCTGGTGTTTCTGCTCCCACTTGGTGTCGGATTGTATATTTTGTTGTGTTTGACAGCCTTATAAAACAAGTCTGGATCATTTTTCCTTAGAGGATTATAACCCACAATACCGTTTATTAAATCTAGACTCATTAAAATAGCAATAGGTGCAATGTAAATTGTAATTTGAGTGAACAAAATGTGCCCAAAACGTGCAGAAACCAAATGTGACTTGTCTTTAAAGAGCTGCAGGTGGAAAACTGAGCATGACAAACACAAAGTATTCGTTTTCATATCAGAGAAAGAAGAGGAATGAAATTCATATTCTCATCTTGTATTTATTTACACATCCGGGTGTCTGCGCGCTCCCTCCTCCTCCCGGTGGCGCGTTCATGTCTCATGGGAAATAAGCTCTTCAACAATAACAAAGTAACTTTCAGATTTTTGTTTTTTCTGAAAAAAAGATATTGCTTGTGATAAATAATTCTCCACTTTGACACAATTTACACACAAACACGTTATATGTGATGCGTTTGCATCTATGCTTTACAGCATTAAATCAATGTCAAAAACATCCAAAAATACATTGACCTCCATTCAAAACTTCAGCAAAGAAGTTGGCTTTCAGTTGCCAAAGTCAACAACCCGAAATATGAAGTGAAACACGTGGGGGGAAACTAAAAGGATCTTTGTGTTTGAAAGCATACAATATAAGCTCTATTACTGTTTTATTAGGCCAAAACTGAGCAAAAAACATACATGTATATATGTATATAAAAAGAATAAAGGTCATTTTAATTTAAGATGAGATTTATGATGTTGATACCTTGAGTTTATTGATCATATGCAGCGAAACTAAAGTGGCACTGCAGCAAAAGAAGAAGAACAGATGCATAGATACAAAGTCTTGACCAAAATAATCACAAATATAGTTCATGGTTCTTTTATTTGACATTTTACAAACATAATAGGGTTGAACAATGAAAGGTAAACTGTAGCTACTTCATGCGATACATAAATTTACTTTAAAAACATTTACTTTTATATCTACTTATATACACATATATCTATGCACATATGCGTGTGGAGATGAAGTCATTGCAATAAATAATTAAATAGAAAAATGGCTAAAAGTAAGAAAAACAAATAGAAAATGCTGAAGAGCACATACGAAAACAAATGTACTCCAAATAAAACATAAAATTAATAGACTTTAAAAAGGGGGAACATTTATTTCCACCTGAATGCCACTCTGAACCTGCGTTCCATCTTTCCCACGGGAGCCTGAAGGCAGCACAGCCACCCATTGGCCAGCCATAGCTGTCGATCACAGCTCCATCTCCCTCCCACGTGGTGACGTTCCGTACCAAAGTAACCAGAGGCCAGTCCATTACGCACACAAAAGACACAACAAAAGCTCGTGTTGGGGGAAAAAATGAAACCCGTCAGCACCCAAAGGACACAACAATAAGTTCCCGTCTGGCAGCACCACACATGGACCAGAGCCTGGGACGACGACAAGCATTGAATCAACTTAGAAAAGAAAACATCAGACTGAAAAACACCTCTTGTCTTTCTTCAGTTTTCCACCAAGCTGCGTTTTGTTCTGATGATCCAGATGGTGAGTACAGCAGCCCGGCAATGTTTACCTCACGCAACCTGGTTCTGGTGTCGTGCTGGGTTCACAGACTGCACCAGGCTAGGAAACAAACAAACAAACAAAACAACAACAACAACAACAACAGCAACAACAGCAAGATAGAGCGACACAGTTGCGCTCGCGTCGTGGCTCTTTATTGGGGATAAACACATTTTAGGATTAGAGGGGAACGCCTTCTTTACAATATAAATATAAACGCATGTTGTGTTAAATGTGTCGGGTTTTGGTGGGTTAGACTCGGTGTTGAGTGCAGCGAGTCTTTTGTCTGGACTCTTCCTGTTGCTGGTTACCAGAGACGCGCAGTGTGCTGCCTCTTTGTTTTCACTTTGCCCAGTTTGAATATCAGCTGTGTTACCTGTCGACTCGACTCACATCTCCCTCTTTGTTTTTATTATTTCCTTTTGGTTTGTTCTTCAAAACGACGTAGTTTAAATAAAACATGTCAGCTGTTACCATGTGGCAAGGAAGGCTGAAACAAAAGAACCACAAACTCCAGAGCTAGGAAATAATTCTATAGGATTCAAGTAATCACTTAAAGTATTGTTCAGCTGTTACAGTTTAGAAAAAATACATAAAATGTTAAAGGAAGAGCATTAAAAGTGAACAAAAATAAAACCATGTACTGACAAGAGACCCTGAAGTGAGCAACGTGGCTCCACAGGGGACCACAACAAAGAAAGAAACAGCTCCACAGACGTAACTTGTCCTTATTTGGCATCACTGAAGGGAAAAGGGACGATGTTCTGTGTTGTTTCATGCTGTCACGGTGTCTAAATGCAAATAACAGCATGTTATTGTCTCCTCTTTCTCTCTGTGTGTGTGTGTGTGTGTGTGTGTGTGTGTGTGTGTGTGTGATGCACTGCACAAAGCTGATACAATCACTGATGGTGAAAAGACACACATCAAGCTCTTGTGTGTGTGCGTGTGTGTGTTTACCTTTCCCTGTCTAGGAGCAGCCGGGGTTAAACTGGGCTAATTCAGAAAGGGGATTATGTCTCAGACACCTGTGCAGATTATACAGTTATATATACGGTATATATGTACAGTATGGAAATGTGGCTCGTCTGGGGGCCACCAGGTTAGGCTACCACCTCTTATTTTTCCTTTGTGTACCTTCCCGGGTGTGTAAATGTGTGTTTTGTATGTGTTTGCAGAGCAGCCACGCTTCACTTCAGGTCACGGCTGCTTCCTGTTTGAGTTGCGGAAGCTCCTTTGTTTTGCTCGTCTGGCTTCTGTCTCGGCGCTGCTGCTCTTCCTGTTGCACCACATTGAGCTCAACTGGAAAACTTCTGGAGCTCGTTGTGTTTCTTTAGTCTCAGGGATGCAGCGGGTTGTTGTTGTTGTTGTTGTTGTTGTTTAACACACCTTGGTTATGCTGTGCTGGTGGTTGGAGTGACTGTTGAGCATCTGAGCAGCAGTGGACAGTTCATTTTTTAAAGACAAAGATTATTTTAAGGACTATAGGTAGTTTTTTCAAAATTTCAACACTTTTATTATCTATTTATTCGTCCGTCCTTTGTTATACATTATAAATACTCCTTTTATAGAAGTATCAGATTATAAAATATGGCAAATGTAAATACATTCACACAAGTACTGTACTATGAGGTACTTGTACCACTTGAGTATTTCCATGTTATGCTACTTTTTGACTTCTATATTTTATCTCCAGGCAAATAATGTACTTTCTACTCCACTACATTTGGCAGCTTTTGTTACTTTGCAGATTTAAATTATTAATACAAAATATAGACACAAATAACTGTGTTGTATCATTGGCAGTATATAAAGTTATAATGCTGCACAGATTGTTATTAAATAACATAATATACACCATTGTGAAATGGCTCATACTGCCTAATGAGTACTTGTAATATAATATGTTGTTTTTTACAGTGTAGTATTGCTACTTTGACTCGAGTAAAAGACCTGAAACCATTTTTCCAGCACTAGCAGACATTGTGATTTTGTTGAGAATCATACAGTTACATAAATACAGAATAGCCTAAACAGTAACCTTAACGTTTTCATACAAGACCATCGTTCTTTTTTTACTCTCATCAGTGTCACCAGTCTCTGAAGGAAAACACGCCTGCTTTTTAATATATCTCAGTAGTGAATATCAGAAGTGAAAGCCACTGTGGTTGAGCAGATAAATGGCACCACCCAGTCTCAGTTTAATCAACGATAAGAGGTCATAGTCCGCACGCTGTTTGACTGTCAGGTGGTCCGTGACAACAGTACAGCCATTCAGTACGTCATTTTCTTTTCTTTCTTTAGTGGTGAATTCAACTTTGCTCGTGCAACTTCACTGTTCCGGTTTGACTCTAACGGCTCTCATCAACCAGGTTGCTGTTTTGCAGTGAAAAAGCTCTAAAATCACAAAGCAGACGAGCAGAGTTAGCAACTATCTGGAGAAGGAAATTGAGCCTTTAGTAGCGAAAGAGCCGGATTATTTTTCTTAGGAGTCGGTGGAAACCAAAAGAGAGCGAACAGGAGAATACATTTTAAACTTGTATTCAACATTTGGCCCGAAACGTGACTCCTAATGTTAATATTGCTCCGTGTCTGCTGGATGATAAGTAACTGTTTGCTAATATTTAACCCAATAACAACCATATAAAGCATAATATGTCAGATTTTGTGTTGTAAAGCTTGTTCTGTCGCCACCAAGTGGCCAAAAAAATCCAATAATGTAGCTTCAAAATGTATAAAACATTTTCTATGGTGTAGTGCTGAATGTGTTTAAATCACCTCAGATCAAATTTAATTCTACTAGATTTCTACGCCGTCTTTTAAAGAAAGATTGCAACACAAAGTGTTTCACATAGAAAAAACAAAACAAGATACAACACAACAGAGTAACAAGCTGTAGAAACATGAACCAACTCACTGATGAGTATGAACCAACCGGAGACCTCAAACCTCAACGTCCACTTAAAGACACCAAACGGCCATCATGTCAAAGTTTACAGGAACAACACTTTAGCTCCCACTCGCTGTAAACCACGGACACAAACAAAGCTATTAATAATGACAATACTGTAGACAAGATAAATAGAAAGGGTCATGAAAGCAGCAGGGTGTAGAAAAGGGAGGGAGATGAAAGGGATTGTTTATGTAGAAATAGGTTGAATAAAACCAAATTGGTCTGTTTGACGAAGTGAATGCTAATCTTTAAAGTTGTAGCTGATGTTTTTTTACAGAGTATGTATGTCTTATCATGAGAAATTAATAACTGTTTGAGGCTCCAGGTTAAAACGATCTGGGAAAGATCAAATATACATATTTTCAGTGTAAGCATGAATGTCACATTCGATCAGCTGGAATCCAAATGGCTGCCACACCAAAGTCTAGACAGCAGTCGAGTACAAAGGGAGGTGGAGCAGGTCTTCATTCTGTCGGATAGTTAGCATTGTTCACCTGCAGAGATGTTCATTGTGTCTCGGCTGCATTGTCTCTTCATCTCTTCTCGTCTGTCCTGCAGGTGATCTGAACTGGTTTGCGTTTTGTTTCTGTGGAGCCGAATCTCCTGCAGACGTGCAGACGAATTCATCTCTGCCAGGAATTCATGATAAAGCTGATGCTGTATGCTATGTGTGCGCGTTGTTGTTGTTTGTTATACAACATACATGCATACTATATTTTGAGTTTATTACAACTTGGATCAGGTTTTGGTTTCTGTTGAGTTCTCGTCAAAGTAATTGCTGGATGCAGAAACAAACGGGAGCAGTCTGATGGATTGTAAACAAACCCAGAGGTTTGACTATTCCATTTGTAAAGAGAAATGAATGCAAATAGTGAAGTTATTACTCAATCTGTCCATTGTAAACATCTGTTACAGTTTACACACTGACCTCCTGGTTCAGATTTGAATTAAAAACAAACACTGGACATTAGTTGAAACTGTTACAGCTAATCTTAAAACAAACTATTCTCGCAGTTGAAACAAAGTGTAAAGAAACCGATTGTCCTTTTTGAGGGATATTTTTAATTAATTTTCCTGGCATGCAAACAAATAAAAGAACTCTAACATTTATACCAGAAGCTTTAATAACCATATCCTGCGTGTATCAGTCCACTGAGACAGAACTATGAATAAGAAATCAGTTTGTGATCAGGTGAAACATGTCGTGTGGCTTCACATTGAACACGGGTTTGTTTGACCTGTCATCATATTAAGTTACATCACAGCCGTGTTGGTAGCCAACAGCATGCGATCGCAATCACGTGATAGATTACTGTAATCAAATGACTGCTCGAGCAAACGATATGAGTTTATATTGGAATTGCAATGGAGATCATGAGCTCTAAAAATAGGATGCACGGGACGAGTCTCTCAACACTTTTTGTTTTCCGCCCGGCAGGTTTGATTTTCTCCCGTGGTGTCTGTGTGGAGCCTGCCACACACCCACTCCACAACAACGACGGCTTTTGCCTGCATCTTCCAGTGCTTCTTCTGTCAGCAAGTCCAGCAGAGCTGCAACTCTTCCAGTGCCAGCCCGGACACCTGCGAAGAGCCCTGCCCCACTGACATGGTGAAGATGACCAAGTCAAAGACCTTCCAGGCTTACCTGCCGAACTGCCACCGCACCTACAGCTGCATCCACTGCCGGGCACACCTGGCCAACCATGACGAGCTCATCTCAAAGGTACGGCAGGTCCAGTCCTCCCTGTCCTCCGCTTAAGTCACCCTGCAGCCTTTCACATGACATTCAATCGGCCCTTCGCTAAGTCCCGCCCCCTGGTATGCAGACTGTCCAATCATAGCGTAGCATCGTCCAGCTCTGACCAGGGTCCGACAGCTATCCGGCTCTGCTGGTCATGGTTTAACGTTGTGTAATAGTGATACTCGTAACCTGGAGTAAGTTTCTATAACGTTACATTTCTACGTAAAAACCTGTGGAGCTAGCATTAGCACATACGTTAGCACATCATTAACTAGTGTTAGCACGTAACTTAAGCTATGCTAGGTACTGAAGGTATACTGAATGTGCTGCTTTTGCTTTTTAATGATTGTAACAGTGAATAAAGAGGAACAGTGTTGTTCCTTAATCTCATTGTCTTCTGTCTCGATCTCCAGCTGATGTGTTAGCTCACTTTGACACTGTGATCTGTAGCTTTAGCTTCTATCTTTATCTTTTTAACTTTTATTTATTATCCTTGAAACGCATGTTGTAGACCCTTCTGTCTGCTTCTCTCGTTTTTCCAAAAATTAGATAATATATACTCAAGGAGTGCAGTTAGTGACAGTGTGGGCTCAATGGTTACGTAGCTCTGACAGTTTGACGGAATAGCATCGGGGCTTAGCGAAGCATCAATTGCTGCAATCTTTTGGGTCAAATTCACACCGTTGACCAACAGTAGAGTCAATGGGACAAATACGTCTTTTGAATAAACTCTGCGAACTTATTGTCCAGTTAGCGACCAAGCTATCTAGCTTGCTAACTGACTATTACCTTGATAGTTGTAATTGGCACCAGCAAGTGTCCGACTGACTAGCATGTTAGCGGTTAGTTCACCAACTACAGCACAGTAGTTAGCCCTGCAAGTCACTACATAATCCAACGTCCAGCACTTTGTTCACAACGATCACAATTGTTAACGCATGCAGCAGACATGGAGCATCATTCATTTGAAGTCTTGTTCTTGGTCTCCACCAACTCCTGAAAATAGCATCTGGATCTAAAGCTGCTAAATGCTCCACTGTGTTCACCAGCTAACGTTGTGTCTTTGTGTGTTTGGTGCGGATTGGGCAGTAAACAGTGGATTTAAATGTGCGGTAAAACCAAAACAATGAGCTAAAAGAAGCTTAAAAAGCTGAAGTTGGCAGATCATTTCTTGTGGGTTTGTTTAATTTAATTCAATGTTAATTGAATAAATCAATGCAGCTTTAAAATAAGTGGTACTCATGTAGGAGCAGACTGGAAAACATAAGCAACACTTGAGTTTGTCAGGATAGTACGAGAGTTCAGCTGTTCTTTGAACATTTTTATGGCAATTCTCTCCAGTTTTTCATTATTCAAATCAAACACTGATAAATCTGCAGACTCGTCTGTGTGTTGGATAATCGCTGTCTGGGTCTCCTTCATCATCTCTTGGGTGAGATTATGAGCCACGATGATAAAGTGCGACAGGCTCCTTGTAATATTTTGGAAATGAATAAGTCTTTGCTCGGCTGAACTGAGAGTTCTCTGCAGTGATTTAGTGTTGTCCTCTGGTATTAGTTGTGGCAAATATCACTTTGGGTTTGACAGCAATGTCATTTTATTTGACGCTCACCTCCTTATTGCGTCTCCGGTGCTCGTGTATCTGTCTGCTCGCTCTTGCTTCTGTATTTTATTCCTAACGATAAATTCTCAGAGGCCTCGATGACAGCCGCTGCTGGTGTTATTACTGAAGTCAGTGTCGGCGGTCAGCCTTTTAAAGTGTTAATGCCGCGGCTATTTTTGTTTCTGTTGCGTTTTTTGAGTAAAAAAAAAAAAGGTCAAAGTGAAAGCTGCTGTGGCTCACTGCGACCTCAGAGGATTACTTTCAAAATATGAGATGAAAAAATCCAGACACAGGCTTCAGATCTGCATCACTGCCCACGAGTTTTCTATGAACTGCACTGTTGTTGTTTTTGTTTTTATTTGTTCAAATTGTGTCCTCCCATTCATCTCAATACTGCTGAATTTCGAGCTCTTAAGGTGTCATCGGGGTAACGATTAAGGATTATTTTTGTTATTTATTAATTCACCGATAATCTTTTCATTCATTTATTATTTTCGGACAGACATGGATGTAAACTGCAACTTCACTGATTGACGGAGACGTACAACCACGAGGCTGTTATTCTAGTTTTGCAGATATTTTAGAAATTAGCTTGGAACTTGTGTTAAACGTCATAAATACATCATAAATACATCAAGTTATACAATCTTTTTGATCCAGTTCAAAGTTATTTTTATCTAGACATGAATAAGAGCGCGGCGACATTAGCATTTGTGTTGATAGTGAGAAAGTTCGATTTGAATGGAGTCCTTTCTATCATCATATCTTTTTTTAAATTTACTTTAATTAAATTTTCCGAATTAACGTCGACGCCACCAGTTTGGGCCTGAAACACCTTTTTTTATTTTTAACATACAGTGAAATTCCTCCATCATAAGCGACTACTGATAGGTTGCACATAAATCCTCCACAAGCAAACAAAACAAAAACCAACTCATTCCACAGTCGGATCACGCTTTATGATGCCGAAGATTCGGCCCATTTGCCCAAAATGAAATTGTCCTGCCGGGTCTGGTCATTTATCCGCCCGCGGAGAGCGACGCACCCGAGCCTGAGTGAGATACAAACGGCTGAGACTCACACCATCAGGTTTCTGATGGTGTGATTCATAACAGTATTCATATGTTACAGGATGTCTGGGTGTTGAAGTCCACATTGTTCAAACATTTGCTGCCATTTGGAGCCACAAGCGTGCACAGCTGCTTTGGTTGCCGACCGTGAATCGACAGCTGGAGAGCAGAGTGCGAGTAAAGTTCATAAACTATCAGATGAGCCGGAGTCGCAGCGACTGAAGCGGTGACCTTTTTAGGTGTTAAAGCAAGATGGTGACTCCACGTGCGTTGCACTCTCGCCGCGCACTAAGCTGATTATTCAAATGGCAAAGATGATCAATCAGCACGTTCGCCATCTACGTGTGGAAATCCATTTGCCTCCTGCGGCTTCAGAGACTCGGAAGCTCGCAGCTTGTCTGTGCGAGGAGGAAGACGAGTAAACGGCTCAACCACCAGACCGTGCTGCTTCTTTCAGCAGCATCACCGGCCTCAACATGGTCACTTCAGAGCCGCGAAAGGTTTTAATTGTTAAAGACCGTCGTACATCACGCTGATGAGCCTTCGAACGAGAGCAACTATCCTCGTTTATCTGCGCCTCACTTAACACGTCGAGATATGTGGATTAATCGTCACGCAGCAAAGTCTGTGTGACATTTATTGGCTCCTGTGCCGGAGGTTGAATTTGTTGGTGCAGCACATTTTGACTGGATGCAGAGAAGAAAATAATGAAAATGAATAAGAGTTTAGCAAACGGAGGGTTTTGCAAAAAATCGTGCAGCTGAAACACAAGAATGCTGCAGAAGAAAGTTGTGATACATTAGTTATTTAAAGCCCCGCAGGCTGTTTTCTTTTGTTTTAATTTGGTCCACATCCTCTTGTTTGCAATCAGGAAGTTCATTGGTTTTGAGACGCGACATGAAACAAGGAAGACGACGCCACTAATAATAATAATGAAACTTAGTTTATGTGACAGAGTTCACACAAAGTGTTTACAGTCAAGAATACACACACAGCAAGACGAAAACTCAGTGTGTGGTGGAAAAAAAGTTATTTTCATTTTGATGGACTTGCAGTGAGGAAAAACAAAATCAGTTGTAAAATAATATATAAATAGAATACATGCATACAGACAATAAATCTTAGAAATAAGAATGAAAAAGCAAAAGTTAATAGAATACTGCATCTACTGATATTTTCTGTACCAATGGATCTGCCAATTAATTGATGAAAACCTATAGCTTTCCTTCCCGACTCTTCTTTTAATTGACTCCAACTCTACTTCAACTGCAGCAGAGGTTCCAAGGAATCGAACCTGCGACGTCGCTGCCATACGCGCTGTAATCATTCGCCGCCACATTTGCTTTCTTCAGTGACGTATTCTGAGCACTGACTGTTGCTTTCTAAAAGACAAATCATTAGAGAGTGAGATATCTATGAGCTCCTGTTGCCACCGCGGGCGGGGCTGAAGATGTTAAAGGGTGTAATGTTTGTTTTATTAGAGGCCCATTGTCCTCACACCTGACACTGGAGCGGGAATGCTGGAGGACCAGTAGCACCAGAGAGCTCCAAACTGGGAAAAGCAAATAAATGAGATTTATTATAGTTCGGTAGTCGCTTCTCAGGGAGTTTCCCAAAGTGCTGAAACAGTCGGGCCCGTTAGGAGCCAGTTTGGTCAGTTAAACTCCTCTTGTATTGAGGCTCATTTAGAAGACAATGCGGTTTAATAAGTTTTCTTTTGTCCCCTGCTGTTTGTCCAGATAGGACAGACACTGAAACTATTCTGTAGTCTGACATAAAGCCGCATTTATATTTCAGCTTCAGGCTGGAGAGGGTTATGTTTGTGGAGGATCTGGGATTGGCACTCAGATGACCCATAAGCTGCCATTCAAACAGTTGAAGTCAAACAGAAGAAGAATTGTTGAACACATAGTTTTACATTAAATTAATTCACAATGTTGTGCAAAATAAATGCAAATGTGCTGCCAGTCCTTTGAGCCCGAAATCAAGAATGTCACTGCAAACGTCAAAACGTCGTTTCTAACTTTTATGAAATAAAAACCTTCAGGCCACATCTTTAATGAGGCAATGGTTTCATCATCGAGTCTCTAAATTGATTACGAGATGCATCAATATGTGTCGGGTGACGAAGGCCTCTCAATGCAGCCTTCACTGTGTGCAACCAGTTAGGAAACGGCTGCTGTGGTGAAACCGTCTTTACCTTGGTTGACTCGGTTGTAATCTTCTCTGTTGGCCGTCGACCTCTCACCTCTCCTGCTTGTGTTTGTCGTTGGGCCTCGGCTGTGCAGACGTTTGCTGAAAAAAACTCA